CTGCCTATCCCGGACCCACGCCACTCCCAGAAGAGGCCAACGTACCCCTGTGGCCTCAGGGGGTGAGGCGGGGGGCATATGGCTCCATGCACTGTCCCTCTCTGCAAGTACCACGCCCACAGCTCCCATTGGCCACAGCTTTCCATTCCCGACCAATGGGAGCTGCAGGGGCGGTGCTTGCAGGCAGGAACAGCACGCGGAGGGAGACCCCTGCCACCCAACCCCCGGGGCCATGCTGGCCACTTCTGGGAGCGGCGTGCGGTTTGGGCAGGCATGGAGCCTGCCTTAGCAGCAGCCGAGCTGCGCCACCAGAGATCATGATCGACTGGGAGATCCTCTAGGATTGATCAGTCGATCGTAATTGACCGGTTGGTGACCACTGATCTAGACTATTCATAGATTCATAGATTCATAGATTCTAGGACTGGAAGGGACCTCGAGAGGTCATCGAGTCCAGTCCCCTGCCCGCATGGCAGGACCAAATACTGTCTAGACCATCCCTGATAGACATTTATCTAACCTACTCTTAAATATCTCCAGAGATGGAGATTCCACAACCTCCCTAGGCAATTTATTCCAGTGTTTATATTAGGATTTGTCACCAAAAACTGTAAATATTTATGTTTCAAACCTAGTTGCTATCTTACCTTATATATATTAGTGTGTACCACATAATAATTCAGTTAGATAAATTTTAAATGTACAAACACTTTTATGCACTTTGGTTGTTCACAATGTATGAAATCCTAAAAAGAGCTGAGTAAACATCTGCAATGCTCATTAAAGTAAATAAGCCAACATCAACTCTCTTCAATATGAGTTGCAAGTTCTCAGCTCCTGCTAGGTTTTGACACAGCATTTACAAAAAAAAAAAAAAAAAAAAAAAAGTAAGAAAGGAAAAAAGGAATCACAGATAATGTAAAACAGGGTTTATATTTCCTCAGAATTACTAGATTAAATGGCCCTTGATCTGTGTGCAGTTCCTGGTGGTGTCAACCAGCTGTGTGAATGGATCAAGATATGTGGCCTTGAGTACTGACATTTACCTAAATGCAGTGACCTCTGTCAAGGTTCTCCTTCTTTCTCTAAAGGACAGTGACTGCTTTGAGAATATTTAGAATTTTGCAAAGAATAATGGTGGAGACTTTCAAAGCTGACTAGGGGACTTACCCACAATTTTCCAATTAATTTCAATGGGAGGTCTGTTGCTAAATCACCTAATCTGCTTTAAAAATCTTAACCACTGTGTTTCAATTTTTTAAAATCCATTTTGGGTCTGATCTTGCAGTCCCCTCTTGGGAGTTATGCTTATATAGGAGAGCAAAATTTGGGCCATCATCTCAGACATTACTTGGTCAGTGTAAACACTTGGAAATCTTTATTTCTTCTTTTAAGGTGTTAATTTAAACTATTTTGATTTTTGTTTGCCCAGCCCCATACAATAAAACTAACTGAGTGTTTTAAGGTCTACAAGAAACATAGGTTAAGGTCCTAAAATGGTGGTTAAGTAGGCCTGAGCTTCCTCAATCAGGCATCTTGGAGTGAAAATCTTTGCATAGTTTCTAAAAGATATATGTTTGCTTGCATTTCCAATTGACCTTTAAAGCAAAATATTTAATTAAAATATGAGAGGGCTGGGTCTTGATGTTAGCACAGAGAAGTCTGCAATCATTGCCAGTAGCTATCACTAAAGTAAATGCAAATTAGAATGGGAAAGTTAAATAGGGCTTAGGAATTTCCCAATGAAAAGCCCCATCAAATTGTTAGGTTGAAGTTTGTTATAGTGTAAGGCAGTGGTTCCCAAACTTGTTCCACCGCTTGTGCAGGGAAAGCCCCTGGCGGTCCGGGCCGGTTTGTTTACCTGCCGCATCCGCAGGTTTGGCCAATCGCGGCTTCCACTGGCCGCAGTTCGCTGCTCCGGGCCAATGGGAGCTTTCTCTGCACAAGCGGCGGAACAAGTTTGGGAACCACTGCTGTAAGGTGTTTTGTCATAGCAGTTTTATACATCTGATGTTTCAAGGCCCAAATTTCAACTGGTGTAAATCAGTGTAGCTTCAACAAAAGTCAATTGAACTATGCCAATTTACCTCAGCTGGCCCAATGTATACAGCTACTCACTACTGTATGTTATAAATGTTTGAACATGACTATTTTCCTTTTCTTGCATTTTTACCTAATATACTATATTTGGAGAACAAATGTTGGTGAAACTATCAAAATATAGATCAGTATAAATACTCCCACATAAACAGAATAAATATAATAAAAGACCAAAATGTCATAAGAATACCACAGTCAGGCAAATAATTACTAGGTTTGATGGCTCTGATATTTTAGTTGTATCATAGTGCACATCATTAGATATTAAATCTAGCTTTTCTCCATGCAACTTTTAACTTTACATTTTTTGTAAATATAATTTTAAAAAAATAATAGATGTTTTGCCTAAATAGGTACAAGAACATCATGTTTTTTGTTTTTTCCCCCCAGAAATCATCCATTATGATTTGCTAAATGTTCTACTTTCTGTATTAGCATGTCAGTTATGATTTATATGCATAATATATACATATATAGATATATATCACAACATTGTGGTGTTTGTTGCATGATGCATACTGTGTGCAGGATAGTCTATGGAATGATTTTCTTAATAATACACCTCTACCCCGAAATAATGCTGTCCTCGGGAGCCAAAAAATCTTACCGTGTTATAGGTGAAACCGCGTTATATTGAACTTGCTTTGATCCGCCGGAGCGCGCAGCCCTGCCGCCCCGGAGCGCTGCTTTACTGCGTTATATCCGAATTCGTATTATATTGAGTCACGTTATATAGGGGTAGAGGTGTATGTTTCAAAGACCACATAAAACGCTCCAGTATTGTAAAACCTGTATTGTGATACAGGTGATGCCCAAGGCAGCTACCATTTGCTGATCAAGGAAGCTAGAGTTACAAGGTAATTGGTACAAACTATAATGCAAAGTATTAAGAACAGTTTCTTCTTCCATTGGTTTGAAACATTTCCTAAAACAACAAGATTCAAAGCTCCAGAACTCATATAACCCATTAAATATTAGGCCCCGTGTATAATCAGATGCACACTCTTTTCAAGCAGGCTGATGTGAAGAACTATAATGCACACCATAGAACTAATGGTGCTAGAATTACAGTTTTGTGTTACATGCACACTCTTTGTTTGAAGGCACACAAAGTGCAAACACATTCAACACGCTTCTGTGTTGTCTAGTTTGTACTGTAAAATACAACCAGAAAGCCAAAGCATAGGACGAATAGCAGGAACAGGCACTTCCTGACACATGCTCACCAAAATGAGTAAAACTATATTATAATGATCAATAAGAACAGATTTAGGGGCATTTGGTATGTGCAGGCTAATTTCTCAACATAAATAAAAAAATACATACTTGATGGTCTGAACTAGTACACCGGGAGCAGAAGCTGGTATTTCTTTAGAATATTAAAATTCTTGATGTTATTGCATATGTTCTACATCAGACTTACCAAGTGACGCAATGAAGTACAGTATACCTGGCTTGATTTGTTCTCATACCAAGAAAAAGAAGGGGGAAGAAAATCCAATAAAACCGTACTTTGCTTTGTTGTCTGCTCCTCCTCATCTCTCCATGTCCCATTCTCACTTCAGTATGTACAAAGCTAATATTGATAAGAAAAATCTTACAGATAAACAGGTGACCAGCTCATAGCGGGGACTTCTTGAAGTCAGTGCTATTCATGCTTAGACTTACATCAAGGTATGGATTGGCCCTGGACAGATTACCTCCACTGTGTCAGTGTTCGGCAACATTGTGCTTATGTCGGTCTAATAGTGTAGACTACTATTCACTGAGAACAGGAGCATTCATACCTCAAAAGATGACTGTTAATTCATCCTGACTATATACTATAATTTTAGGTTCATTTAGTATGGCTATGTACAATTGCTTTAAATTTCTCGTAAATAAAAGGCAAACTTCAAAAAGCAGGTCAAACTTTAAAAAAACCCACTATTTTTCCTTACCTTGATGTTCAGGAAATAATTTTGTAAAAATATACCTACCTCACATTATCAGTGCAAAAAGCTCTAAATACATTTGCATATCTCAGACATAATTTAAAGTATACAGATGGAATTTAAAAGAAAGAAAATCATGTAGTACCTTTACTTTTACCTATGGATTTGATGAAATGGTTCCATGAAGAAAGCATTTCCAGACAAAGAGAGAATAAAGAAGAGGAGAGAAACAACAGTAAGAGTCATGAGTATATGTAAATGCAATAGTATCTGAACATGAAAAGAGAAAGCTTAAAGTAAGTGTTTATAGACAAATGGAGATGCAATCAGTGTCATATTGGGAATTTAGTTTATTTGTTCCAATCATGAACATGCAGAGGAACACAGAAGTAACCCATGCTTTTTTTAAAAAGTGTGACACAGAAGTGACAAACAATGGCTGAAGAGGAGAAAAACATTGATTTCATTATGTTGCAAAACTGTATTCTAAGCATTCCAGAAGCCAGGAGCAGGTGCTTTCTACAAGTTTCCAATCAGCCATGCATTAATGTAAATGGACTCTTCACTGGGTACAATATGACAAACTGAGTATCTTCTTTCAGAAGCTATCTGGTGAGTGCTCTTGTGCTTCTTTTGCCTTTAATAGAATCACCCATAATTGTATTTTCTGATAAATGCATGGAATTTTCTCAATACCTTCTTATCTCTCACTTTTTTCAGTTATTATATTGTGAGATTTGGGGGGGGAGGGAGGGCACAGAAGGAACAAAGCTTAAGGAGCAAACAAATATATATATAGATATATATATAAAATGAAAGAAGAAAGTTGTGACTAAAATTATGTGTTTATTTGCAGCCAAAGACAGCTTTCAAGCATTTGCCCATCATTTGCAGTGATGGATTCAAAGCAGCTACGGAACAAGGAGAAACAATGAAAGCAGAGTGGAAAAGGAACAGAGCCCATACCTTGGTCGCCCATCATCAGGTGCGCCAGACCTTGAAGGGAAACAAGAGCACAGTCAGCAATGAACAAGGGTGCATGGGAAGGTGGTATTGCCACAGTGACAAAAATATTTTGTGACAGGCATCTGTTTCCTATGGGATGTCTGTATCACAGAGGGAAATCAAAGAGCATTTTTCAACCACTGGTTGGAATGCTTTGGGGGCAAAGAGTAATAGAACTGCAATTCAAACACTGGGTAATGCTGTATTGTATATTTCTTCTATGTAATAGTTAGAATGAGAAAAAATAATAAGAAAATGATTTCAAGTCCAACCAGTTCTTTAAATATTTCATGTCTTTGATCAGATTGCTTCTAATTCTTCCACCAGGAGGACTTGCTGTCCTCTAGCTGTTAAATTACATTAAAAACATGGAGAAGTGTAAACCTGAAAAATGGGCTGGGTCTGATCTTTTTCCCCTCATCAAAAATGAGCATTTTAGATCATTAAATAAAATAACTTCTTTGTGACACTGAGATGACAATGCAAGGAATGTCTCCTTATTTGTGTGAAACACATGATGGCAGAATAAGTTTATTCCAGAGGAGCCAACTTAAATATTAAATATGCAGGAGAAGATTTAAAAAACAAAATTAAAGTGATAGCATTTTAGGCTAGAGATCTTTAAAATTTGTGCAAAATAAGTTGTGCTTCAACTACATATTTGAGATCATACTCAGTCAGACTTGTACAGGTCAAGCGACTTGCAACTTTAATCATTCAGTCAGGGTCTGATTTCTGAGCCTCCAAGCCAATAATATTCAATTATTTACCCAAATAAGAAAAAGATGCATGCAGCCTCACAAAGGACATTTTGATACAGAAGAAAAGAGCTAATAATATATAGACAGTATATAGCATTCATTTCCCCTGAAATTTAAAGAATTTTGAATTTTACATCTAATTTTTAAAACAGACATTCTTCATAACATTGGCTTTGCTGGGACTCATTTTTAAATGTATTATTCACATAGAGTAGCTCCAATTTTAATAGTGTACTCTTCTTCTCCAACAACTATAGAAAATATAGTATATTATTTTCCTGTTGCAGTTATAAAGCTTGATTCACACAAAGAAGGTGTGCAATAGAATATGCTGGTTTTTACTGGAAAGCGGACTTCCTAGAGATTTCCTGTTACTTCTAATTCACAAAGAAAATTAGATGCACAAGTGAGTTATATTACAGGAGTTGGGGGAGTTCAAAGAAGATACTTCTGACTACAATCAATCCATATTACTATTTGAAGAATTCAAGGCATGTCAGCTTAAATCACAAGCAGTGTTCCCATTAAATGAACAATGGTTTCCAAATTGAAAGTCTTCCTGAAATACCAGTTTTAATATGTGAGCCTTCTCACAGTGAAATCTGTTAAAGCAAAACTCTGTTTAGTGAATTCAAATACCTGAATTGACCCTCACTTTACAACCACACTCTGTTCTCATTTACACTAGGCTAAACTAAAATAAACAAAGTTATTATGGATTCACATCAGTGTAAATGAATGCTAAATATGACCCATAAGTGTTGCTTACACTACTGTGACAGTTGATGTTAGCAATGGTAGTAGGTAAATAAGGCATACATGTTTCTACCTCTATGTTGTGCCCTATCTGCTCCAGTCATACTGCAACTGTGTGAGACTTTCCAAAAAATTCTGGTGTAGATAGATCTACGTTGAAGCTTTACTTCACTCAGTGAAGTTTCACTGTTCGAATCCCCGTGGAATGTGGCACTATATAACTACCATTTCCCCGCTACCTCAGATCTAGGTTTGCATCCTTGTCTTTTCTACTGTAGTGCCAAGAGTAATAAGAAATCCCTGACTCTTGATCCTGCAACAACTGCATTCAGCAGGGAGGGAAGAGGAACCAGGATACTGTTGCTATTCTGGAGTGAAGTTGGACTTTCCAGAAGCTACCCACATCTACCTGGATCCCTTCAACTGCAGCATGTGAAAAGACCCCTTCCCCTGCTCTTGGGGGGAAAGCAACAGGGAGATTCTTTTACAAGCTTGGCCTTCTATCAGGACAAAATATTAATTCCATGGCAAAACTTTAATTGATCTAAATAGGCCAAGATTTTGTCAAACAAACAAAAAAATCCCACACAAACAGCTTTACCGCTGTCCTCAGATTCAATATCTTTACTAATATGATGTAAAAGAGGTTGTCTCATTGTTAGTCCCAAATAAAACATTCTCATGTAATTTAAATAAATATAAATTACAGAAAGGCCCCTTGAAAGCATCATAGAACTTTCCTGAATTTTAAGAGTCACTTACAGAGCTGTTTAAATTAAAAAAGGAGGTGACGTCAAAAGGAACATTCCCTGCTCAAATAGAACCGCCATTAACAAATTGGAAAAATCCAGTCCTATTTATGGCCTCTTTATTCCTCTAAAACTGATTGTATTTTGTTAAATTTGCATTTTACTGTATTTGTGAATATTGTATCAAACAGTAAAATTACTTATACTTACTTGCTAACTGGGAATAATGATACTTACCTTAATATATAAAGCATTTTGAGATATATGAATGAAAAGGGCTATAGAAGAGCTAAGTATTGTTATTATATTGCTAGTACAATCTGCAGAGAGGTTAATACAATACAGGTAAATTTAATTATTACAACAATCACTGTTAGGTTTTCGAAACTGTAGTCAGTACAAAAGAGAGAACATTTTAATGGAGTCCAATAAAATATGGTAATCAAACAGGTCATCACCTATAGGCATACCTTCAAAATAATTACTTGTGCACCACAAGTTTACAAGCAAAATTGTAAAAGCCTTTTCTTTGTGAATTAGGAATAAAATGCCCACCAGGAATGCATTTTAAGTGGTTGCTTCTCTCTTCATTTTAAGCTGGGCACTAGAAAAACACATTTAAAGTATGCAGAATGGGTCAGGGGAAGTGGATATGAAAGAAAGGACATTTTCATAATTTAGTGAGTAAGTCACATGCAGAGCACAAACCACAGGGAATTTAGAGCACAATAAATCTTCAGTGAATATATTTAGCCTTGGTACAACTTCAGTAATATTAATAAAATTTCTTCAGTTGATAGCATGGATAAATTTGTCTCAACTTATTAAAACTAAATATATGTCTGTATATACACCTAATAATTTTGTAAGGTGCTCAGATACCACAACAATAGGCACAATGAACAAACTTAGATCTATGTCTACATGTGTAGCCCCCATATACTTCAACCAAAATTATGTAAACACATCCAAGGCTATGTTGGAGTAAATTTATGATTGCAACTTTGATCAAATAATCTAAGAAAAATCTGGATTAAGTCTGTTATTCTGACTTTAATCTGAATAGATAAATTGTACTTCTTCATCACCTAGGCATAATAATTCTGATCCACATCTGGAACTCCCATTGACTTCAATGAGTTTCATGCATGGATCAGCTATAGAATTGGGTCCTTATTTTTGTACTCCCATGTTTTTTTCAGTCTGGGTGCCAATACCAATGTTACTTTAATGAATTTTTATTTAACATTCATTTATAATTAAGAATAAAGGAAAGATCCTATTACGGAGCTCAGAGAGAGAGAGAGAGAGAGAGAGAGAGAGAGAAGCTGTCAGAATTTCAGTAGATACTTTCTTTGATTCAAGCTTTGATCCAATATTTTCTTGAACTGTTACGTTTCTTACACTGGCATCACATGTTTACACAAAAATGCCCAAAGCATCCAGACTCGATGAATCTCTGAGCACCTTGCCATATATTTGATGTAGAACATGGACAGATACAGAGGGCCACAGTACCTTGGATTCTGTATGGATCAGATCACTATGATGGCTCACTGCATACATACATTGCAGGGACATTATGCCACAGATCCACGCAAGACCAGTCACTTTGCATACATCCTTAAGAAATTGCAGATTTTAAAAGTAGTTTGAAAAGTGTATTAAAAGAAAATAAATGTCTGTAATGTTGGTTCTTGAATTTAAAAATAGACCAACTATTTTTAAAATAAATAACCTTGGACATGAACCTTGTATGCAAAGATTAAGCCCAGAGAGAATTTTTTTACAGGTACGGTTTGTAAAAAGCACCTGAAAATATTGGTTTATAATGCAGATGACAAAAATGACTGCCAACAAACTGAGGGATCAAACAATGTATTAACATACTGTACCTTTAAATACTATGATACACACATGTACACATTTCTACCAGCTAACAGATTTACTTACCAATATTCTGGCTAGATGGCCATTGTGCTTAGTTTCCATTGCCCTGTGTCTTACTTTCTTTAAGGGGACTTTATTAAATACCAATGTTATTATTAAAAACACACACCTCTTATTTTCCCAGTGTGAAAAGGCAGAGCTGTTTATGTTGGAAACTTTGACAAATCAAGCTTTTCTAAAGCATTGTACTGAAAAGGATAATACAATAACTGATATTTGTAATATAAAAAAGAAAAGAGCTTTTTATGTTCCTAAGTAATTAAAATATATCTTTAACATGCATTACATTCTTTATGATGAGGAGGAATTATGTTCCACATTGATCAGACAAACATTATCTTGTATCATTTTTCATACAGAACACTCAAGATTTCTGTAAACCTGATGGGTGAATTTGGAGAACAATTCACACTTTGGATCTCAGTCACACAAGTATAAATCCTGAGTAACTCCATTGTTCAGTGGAGTTATTCTGGATTTACACAGTATGATAAATCAGGAATTTGGATTTGTTTTATGTTCTATATGGAAAAAAAAATCACACTGAACCAATCAACCTGAAAATCTGCATAGGGAAAAAATGCAACTTACCGTGTTTAATGATACACGTACCATAATAACACTAAGCAGAAGGGAAAAACACTAAGCACAAGGGAAAAATAAGAGCTTAGGAAAATAAGGTAGAAAGCACCCACCTTCCACATAGTTGTCTTCTGAAAGCACATAATAGGGAAGGAGAGAAAAGGAAAACATTCATTAAGCAGCATGCAGACTGGAACTTGCCATTGCATGTCTTCATCATGCAAGGCATCAACACAACATGCAAGTGCTCCATTGCTACCATCCAAAGGGGAAAACATAAGCACCAAGGAAGCAGTGTTTCTTCTATTCAACACAATTTACATGATATAAAACAAAATAATTCCATTTCCTCAGTGAAGAAATTGTAAAGAATCTTTTGCAGCTCTTTGTGAAGCAAGTTCTACTTACTTAATCAGAAAGTCTTCTCATAGGTCTTTAGTTAGTAAATAATTAAAAACTGCTGTGATGGGAATTCTAACTATATTTTCCCATGTTTTCCCATTTTGAATTTTTCTTAATGCCTTATAAAGCAGAATATTTTAAACAGATTTAACTAGCTAATTTTGGTTTTACAATATGCTGTGAAACATTTAGAACAGCCAACACGCCTAACCCTGAAATCTTTACTCAGCCAAATCTCTTTCTAGTCAAGGGGCCAAATCATGTAATCAAATATGGCAAAATTGCCAGTGAAGCTGGTGGAATGAGCAAGGACTGCAGGATCAGGTCCCATTATTTATTGACATAAGACAAGTCTTAAAATTAATCCTGATTTTTGGCCTGGCAGAATCAGTAAAAGGCACAATGCCCACAAATATACAGTGATTTTTAAAACATCAAATTACTTTTATACTGTATTTACAGATCATGCCTAATAGGCCAGATCCTGCAATCTGATGAAGTTAATGGAATTTGTGCCTAATTAAGGCCTGCTACAGCTAGCAACAACTGGACATTTTGTCTCAGGCCTGACAGTGATTGGGGGAGCAGGCAGCACTCAGTAGAGAGCTTCCCCAAAACCTGTGTGGGGAGGTGGGGGCTTGGATTGTCTGCCAGCTGGTCAGTCGGAGGGGAGAGTTGGAACTAATGAGCAGGTGCAGCATGCTGCCCTGACTGGGAAGATCTACCTCCACATCCCTCAAGCTCTTCCATTGAGGAGGAAGCTTAGGGGAGTATTTCTCTGCTGCCCAATTTGATTCTGATTGGGAAGAGGATGGGAGAAGGTAAGAAGGTACCAGAGGAGATAGGAGAAGACAAGATGCACAGGGGAAAGGAGGGGGAACAAAGTTGATGAAAGGAAGTAAGAGCTGAGGAGTAACAAAGGGTATGTCCACACTACCCACCAGATTAGCCAGTAGCAATCGATCTATCGGGGATCGATATATCACGGCTCATCTAGACGTGATATATCGATCCCCGAATGCGCTCCTGTCGACTCCGGAACTCCACCAGGGCGAGTGGAGGTAGCAGAGTTGACGCGGGAGCCGCGGCCGTCGATCCCACGCCATGAGGATGGGAGATAAGTTGAAATAAGATATGGCGACTTCAGCTACGCTATTCCCGTAGCTGAAGTTGCGTATCTTACATCGACACGCCGCCCCCAAGTGTAGACCAGCCAAAAGAGACAGTGAGGGAGCCTAAGGTGGGAGAAGAGGGGGAAAAAAAGGAAAAGTGGGATTATTAGAGCTCTCCCTGTCTTTGACTTGTCCTGAGTTCCACAAGCCCTTGCTGCAGAATAAGGAATGAGTGGGGAATGCAGGATTTGACCCAGTTCCATTATAAATGGTTGTTTTCAGTGAGAGTCTTTTTGATGGAATTAACTTTTAAGTATATGTTAAGAGACACAACTGGGCCTGATTTTGATCTAGTGCAAATCAGGAACAATTCTACTGAATTAAACAAAATCAGGCCCAGTAGTGTGTTTTAATAATTCAGCTCATGATCTATCTCAGAATGCTTAAACTTTCATAATCATGTTTTCTATAAATTAATATGCATTTAACAAAATATTAAAAATCTCATACAAATTATAAAATATACAAATACATTATGTAGTGTTATTTTATAAACTGCTTTATTCCAGCACATGAGATGCATATACTTAAAACTACATTGTATGGGTTGCCACTATTTAAGAATAACCATTATGAACATCCAATATTTAGGGCTTTAGTCCTGTCTGAATTCACAGTAAAGCTCATTATTTTTAATGAAATTTCTATGCCCATATAAGCAGAGAACATACTTGACAAACTGTTCATTTTAAATTACTGTAAATCATCTTCTCCATACATACATGAACTCAGACTTGTAAAAACTCTGTGCCTGTAACTTCAGTTTGCCATAAAAGTGCAATTGATGCATAATATCCATTACATGCATTTAGGAAAATAAAAGAATGAAAGAAATGAGCATGAATAGGAGGATGCTACTTGTAAATATACCGTATATAAAAAAAAAGCAAGATCCACAAATTATATGAGGACCACTGAGAAAACGAAAAACTTCCCATTCCATAAAATAACGATTTTTCCCTATCCTCTATTGTAAATTGTAATGATCTTTTGTTTGTTAACATGACTTATTTTATAAGGAATTCTATGTAATAGTCTAATTCCTTTTAGTGCAAATATTGTTTCCTTCCTATTAAGTACAATAAAAAAGCAAATTAAACAAAAAATAAATGAGTTACTAAAATAGTATTATACCTTTAGTCTCCTTCTTTGTAATACAAATGTATACAAGATACCAATATTGTGATAGGGTGACCAGATGTCCCGATTTTATAGGGACAGTCCCGATTTTTGGCTCTTTCACTTATATAGGCTCCTATTATCCCCAACCCCTGTCCCGATTTTTCACACTTGCTGTCTGGTCACCCTAATATTGTGATGACTTGATAGTCTGAGATTCTTTCTGGCCTGCTCTATTTAGCTCAAGATATATGTAGTTACAATAAATGAACTTGCAGGCCAGCTCTGAATTTATTAAAGTCAGATGGAATTCTGAAGCTGATATGCCTGGGAGCAGGCTCCATGTCTCTGAATATAGGACTTTGCTTTATACTAAGGTCCAGCTTGTCAACTGGTATACACTGGACTAATCTGTTGAAGGCAATAAAGCTACACTGATTTATGCTAGCCAGGAATCTGGCCCTAAACATTTAATTGTGTAAATAACCATTCAAAATAGTAGCCCATTAAACTAGCATATCTTATTTTGATTTTTTTAAATAAAAATTGCATTAAAAGCGTTGAATATTGTCTAGTGAACAAAACAGTATGGAATATATATCACCAAAAGACATATGCAATAGTAAGCTATTTAAGAACTTCCTTTCTTGCTTGCTTGCTTGCTTGTTTCCTTGCTTGCTTTCTCACACCACCAATAAATGTATCTGTCAGGGTAATTTCAACACATCAATTTGGGAGTTTAAGTGAAAGATTTTTCATATCAACAGTTTGATGACAACAAAATGTGTGCGTATGTGGGTAGGGGGAGTCCTTAAACTGGTAAGATTTTTTCAAGGGTTTTCTATGTTAGATTAGCATTTTTATTGATGCTAATATTGTTATATTGTAACAAATACTGGTATGGAGACCATTACACTGCTATTTTGTGACATGTATGTAACACTAAATCTTTGTCTAATTTTCCTGATTCCCATCCTAGTTTGATGTGTGTGTGTGTGTGTGTGTGTGTGTTTTAGAGTGAGGCATTGCCTAGTGTTGTAAGCACAATCTGGGGAGTCAGAAAATCCTAAATTCTAATTTTGTTCCTTAGGCCAAACACAACACAAGTCCAATCATACAAGATGTTAAGTGCATCCCATGAAGTGCTGAGCACCCTAAACTTCCAGTGAAGTCAATGAGATTTGAGAGCATTTAGTACCATACTAAAGGTGCTCAGCATCTTGCATAAAAGGACCTTAACCTCTCTGCCCACATTTCCCCATCATTAAAATGGAAATAAAAATTGCCTTATTTACAGAGCTGCTGCGAGGATTAATTAGTTCATGTCTATAAAGCATAAGTGTTAAATATTATTCTTGGCAATATTACAGATAGAAGGAATGCTAATTTCTACAATTAATATAAATATATATAATCATTCAAATCTCCACTGGAATTAGAGTTGTGTCATGTTGATATAGTCCTTTAGACACAATGAAAGGAAGTCCAACACCACTAAAGTAATTGGAGATATACCCACTTACCTCAGGTCTGAATTTGAGCCATTAAGATTATTTACTTCACTTAAGCTTTTACATTTACATGAATACAAAGTGGCTTAAATCATGGCAGTAAGCCACACTTCTTTAATACTGGTAATGCAGACATGCAGCACCACAAACAGAGCTTCAGGTGGCACTGGGCTTCAGATAAGCATAATGGCCTCTCCTGGAAACTGCAGTCTCCAGGACATACTTTGGTGGTGCAGTATACACTCCACTCCATACCTAGCAAGCTCTGGGCCATGGTCTCACCTCATCTCCATCCATTTTGTACAAGCTAGCCTTGAGAGCTGGGCAAGGGGATGTGAAGACTAGCAGGGTGGGCAAGAAGGTCCACACAGACTAGACACTATCTTTATAGCAGACTAGAAATATATTACATTCTTTGTAGATTGAGGAGGGGGAATGAAGGAGAAAGGGAAAGACCCAGTAAAAACTCCAGCAAGGTGGATCCAAAGCTATTCTCCTCAAGGACTTTCCATTTGTACAATGAGATATATTCCCCTGGAAAACAAAATCATGCTATATGAGCCAGGGCCAACTGTCATCCTTATCAAGGTTGTTTCATCAATATCTTTAAAGACAATGGGTATAAATTCCACCTGATGTTTGGCAATTTCTCCTCTCACATCATTGCTTCAATTTGTCATTTAAATTGCAGTATCTTCTGTCTGGACTTTCTTACTTCCATGGCACAATTATAATGTCTATTGCACAGAACCATATACATAATTGGTGCCATATCTATATATATTTTCAGGCCTGATTTTCCTCACATTTACACTGGTGTAAACCAGAAGTAATGGTACTGAAGTCAATGAAGCTACACCAGTGTAAAACTGGTGGGAAGGAGGGGAATCAGGCCCATTACAGTCAAATTTTATGTCCCCCTCAGCC